ATTATAGCCCTCCTAGTACTTCATCGCTCATTCATTAATGATGGATCCATTCATTCCTTCATGACTTCGTATCTTCAATCATTCCTTCCTGCATTCATTCGATACTTCATTTGCTTCTTTTCATTCATTCATTTATTTAATCCCCCATTCATTCAATCAACCATTCTTCTACTCGCTTGTTGGCACACACACTCACTGTTCCTTTGCACATTTGTGAAGCATTTATAGAGCAAAGCCCTTCTAGGTATCCAGTGAGGTCCAAGACTGGGTCCCTTGCCAGGTAGTGGGCTGAAAGCCTTCTCATTTTGGACCGTAGTCCCTCACTTCTACCTTTCAATCTTCCCACCTCCCTCTTTCTGTTCACCTTGATCCCCACTGACTTTCTTCTGGAACTGGGGGCCCAAGAACTGTGCCTGGCACTGGGTGTGGGCTCCTCATCCTTCTGTGACTATCAGGAGCTGGGGACTAGGAACACTGTTCTCAGCATCTCCCTGCTAAATGGTAAACAAATTCAGTACATTCCGTGGACAAAGCCAATTCAAAGCCAGCAGACCAAATAAGAGAATTCATTCCAGGCAGTGGGCTGGTAACTGAAATTCCAGCGGGAAGCTAACTTTTCCTGCAGGGTCTGCAATTCTAGAAAATAACAGAGGGCGGCCAGCCATTCCATTATTTGTAATTTCCTCCAGAAAAGATGTCTTTGAGTACCTACTATGTGCAAGAAACCAAGCTGGGGACTATGAGGAATGATCCAGATAAGCTCCCCGCAAGAAGCTGACACCCTGGAGGGGTGAGGGGGTGGGTGAGGAAGGGGTTAACACCGCCATCCAGTGCCCAATTCAATGTATAACTTGAGAGTCGTGAGAACGCACACCTCAAAAAACTGGGGAACTTAGATGGAAGAAATCACTGCTTCCTGGTGTCTGGGGAAGCCTTCTTGACTGACTGTGGGAATAGCTGAGTGAGGTCTTGGGATATGGGTGGAATTGTAATCGTTGGACTAGGGGGTGGGGAGAGGGGTAACACAGAGTGAAAAGGATGGACAAAGATGTAGAAGTGGATGACACCGCCCAGCACAAAACCTCTGTAAGTTAGCATGCCTCTCTTAGACATCAGGAAACTGGCATTTCCAAGGTGAAATGATTTGCCAAAGGTCCTTTGAGATAAAGGGCTGTGTGACAGCAAGGGTACTGCTTCTCTCTGCCAGTTTTTTGTCTCTCCTTGGTCTCCCAGATCTTCTGGGTTGAACACACTGCCCGATTAACACACTACAAACACAGCTTCCTCAGGAGCTCTCTGGTTCCATAAATTCTCCAAGGTGCTCACTGATCTAGGAATCAGGGACCCAGTCCCACATTTGTCTCTAACTTGCCATACGGTCTTAGAAAAATCATCGAGTACCTGTGGGATTTAGTTTGCTCGTCTATTCAATGAGTACTCTGGAGATTCCCAGCTCAGACCTTCCTGAAGGTTCTGAATGCTTTCTCTTGGTCACAGAGGACTGCCCACCCGTTTCCTTATAGGCAAAAATCTCTCCTGCAATGGTCTTATCATTCAGGGATGTTCTCCCTAAAGTCTCTTGCTGGCCGCCCCCCTCAGGCCCAGCAGCTGCACCCACATCATCCTTCTCTGGCCACCCCCCACCCCAACCCTTTAGACTTATTCTTTAAAGCCCAGAGCAGGTATGAAAAGCACATACAAAACTCTGGGAGCCAGAAATTCTACCGGGGACTGGGAGGCAGAGGCTGAATCCCCCAAAGTAGGGCTTTTCTCCTTCCTCATGAAAGACAAACAAAGATCCCAAACAGAGAAAGAAAATGAATTTGAATGCTTTTATCCAGTGACACGGCTCTTAAACTAATTTAGATTTCAGCTGCCTTCAGGAAGCTCTCCCTGGACGCCCAGCTTGGGCTAGGCACATCTCTCTTTCTCTCCGCACTAATCACGTGGAGTTTTTGGTTCTACTTTAAAAAAACGTGTATGTGCCACCAAATTATAGTTTGGAAACATGCAGGGCAGTTTTCAGCAGGAAATTTTCCAGCCATAGAGCGGAGGTCAGTGGGGGCTGCAGGGACAGGGCCAGCGTCTGCGCATCTAGGGTTTTGGGGTCCTAGTTACCTGGACGGCACCGGAAGGGGGCTCCAGAGATAAGCCGTTAGGACTCCCAGAGGCACTGCCTACTTCCACGATGGTCTTATTCTAGGCGTTTGGAAGCCACAAACAGTAGAGCCATAAATTGAACAGTAGCTAAAATGTGCTGACCACTTCGTACACAGCAAAGCTGGTGCTGATCCTTTGACTTGCATTATCCCTGACATCCACACAGCCCAGCAGCGGTTTTTAAGGAAGTAACTACAACTGTCCCTGCTTTACTGTTGAGTAAGACCAAGCTCAACAGTGGTGGAACCTGGATTTGAACCCAGCAGGGAGATCACTTCCTGAACTGAAAATCTCCACCACCCTCTTCTGACTGCTTCTAATTAGATCTGAGCCTGACGTCTCAGAAATCATAGCAGCAGTTCCAGTAAAAGCATCAGCAAGGAAAAGCTTCAAATTTGAGAACAGGATGGGACCGGAGGGAAAGAAGGCTCAGGGACCTGGCGAGGAAGTGACCCATGACCACTGGCCTCCCCAACCCATTTCTAAGTCACCTCCCTCTGCAGGAAAGGTCTTCTGCTGATCAGCATTCCACAGAGGAAGATGGTGAGAGAAGACTGATTGGGGCAAATGCTGGGAGAAATGTACACGGCTGGAGCCCTGGGCAATTCAGCCAACCTGGCGGAACTCTGTGCAAGAGGGACTGGCCACTCAGGGATGGGACAGCTTGTCATGGCCGCCTGCCCAGTAGCCTTGTTCTGCTGTGAGCTTCAAATAAGCATTGTTGAGAGAGTTAAATAAGAAAGTGCCCCAAAAGCATGCTGCACTGTATCAGGCACACAGTAAGGGAGGGCTCACTGAATGCTGTCACCCCCTCTTCTCTTTCTTAGGGTCCTCGGAGACAGCAAAGAGCTCTGGCTTCTGGGAATACTGTGGGAATTCACCAGAGTGACCTGGAATTTTTTGTAGGAGAAGGGAACGTCTGAGCTCTTAATCTTTGCACGATCCTGTGCTAGAACCTCCATATCCATCCTTCGTATTTCCATGCTCTTACAACAATCTCCCTTGGGTCTCTGGTGGCTCAGCCCGCACTGTATATGAAACAGGGTCCTCCCTCCCTCTACTCCCCCCACATCCAGTATCCTGCCTGGAGGTAGTATTCTCACCCACTTTATGGATGAGAAAACAGGCTGAGAGAGATGAAGTTTGGCCTGAGATCTCAGAGGGAGGGAGTGATGAAGCTGGGTTGCATGCCCAGACCCCACCAGACTCCAGAGCTCAAGATCTTTCTGTGAAACCTAGAGGCCTCCCAGAAGAGCCACAGGCATTGAAAATATTTTAAAGCAAGTCCCCGAGTTTCTTGTTTCATAGTCCCCTGGCCTCTGGGACCTCACAGTGGTCAGATAAATGATGCAGGTCTGGTGCTGAATTCTGCTCCCACACAAGGGTGGACCCCACAAGGAGCATCTGAGGGTCTGTGAGAAGCAGGGCTCCGAATGTCAAGAATCTGGGTCTAGGCTTGCAGACTCTGCCTGCCCAAGACTGGTAAAAGGGCACGCTGAGCTTTCCCTGCATAGAAGGATGCATGACTCGTGCAGCCCTAGACCCGTGTTCTAGGATGTAAACACCAGTCCAGCTTTATCACCTAAGATCTGCACCCGGAGATCTCATCCCACATTGCTCAGCCAGCCTGATGTCTCTGGGATCTGGGCCAGATGCCTGGACCCTTTGAGGACAGGTTACTCGTGGGGATCTCTGAGATGTAAATTTGCCTAATGAGTCAGGAGAGACCAAGCAAGTCCTAAGAGCAGATTCACCAAGCACCTTGGGGGTCCACCCTTGCCTTAATACGGTTCTAATCACTACCCAGCATGAAGGCTGGGGAACTACAGCCCCTACCTATAACCAGAACCTCAGCTCCAATGGCAGAACTTGAAGGTTTAAGTGTCAGGTTACTTAAAATCCTTCAACCACTCACCAGAAGATTTGAGCATTAAATGAACGAAAACAAAACCCATCCTTTTCTTTCTTCCTAACTGCATCCTGTCCTTCCATTCCAACAACCAACTTTCTTACATAGTCCCTTATGGCGCAACATATGTTTGGCCCAACTTCACAGGGACTCATTGGACAACTGTCCCACTGGTGAGACTGGGCAGGTCTGAGCTGGGGAAAGGCAGCTATGGAACAGGGGGTATCACACTTTCTAATCTTTGACAGAAGCTCACTGCTCCATCACACCTTGACAGTGCCCTCAGCCCCCCAGCGGTCACCAGAGCATGGCAGCACCCTTGTGTGATGCCCTCGCTCCTAATGACGCCCCCAGCCACCAGGACGTGCACCGGGTCACAAGCCCTGGGAGTTGTACCTCCTGGTAACAGCTGATTCCTTTTGGCTTGCAGAGGTTTATTGGGGTGGACAGACAGAGCAGCCTCTCCCTGATGATGGACTCCTAGGTCTGCACCAGCACTGCCACCCGGAGGAGTGTGTGAATGTGTGAGCACTCTCGCCGGGTGCCCACAGTTGCACAATCGCCAGCCGTCATGGGAACGGAAAGAGCTTCCCAACATTTCCACTCAGACAATCCAGTCACCCCCACCTGTGAATCCGACTCTTCCTTCTGCTCCTAGAGATTTCCAGGAGGAAAGTCCTGGCACCTGGAGCCCCAGAGGGGGTCTCCCCCACCCCTGGTGCCAGCGCCCACCCTGGCTCTCAGCGGCGTGTTCATGATATTCACACCGAGCCTCCGGCCAGGTTTCTTACTCCTTTGGATATAAGAACCTGCCCTTGCTCCTCGTGGAGGGGAGAGTCCAGGCTGAGGGAGGCGGGTGGCACACCCCAGCTCAGCACCGAGCACTCCCAAACCCAGCCAGGGGAACAAAAGGAAGAAGGAGGTGGCTTACCTTTAGAAGGTCGCCTTTGTTTGGTTTGCAGAGACGAGAAGGTGCCCATGACGGCCCCCATGGCAGTGAAGACTTGTGTGCGACTTGGGACCCCTCGCCCTGCCCCTCCCCTCCCCTGGAAAGAAATCAGTGTGGCTCCTCTACTCCGAATTGGAGGAGGAAAAAAACAAAACAAAACAAAAAAAACACAAAAAACAACAAAACACCCGGCAGCTCGCCTGCAGCTTGGTATTCAGCGAGCGTGGGGCTGGGGCGCTGGGAGCCTTTTCTTTCCTTCTTCAGCCCGCACATGCACTGACTCACAGGGCCAGCCGCTCCCGCCGAGCCTTCGGAACCGGGCCGGGCCGCTTTGCGCGCCAGGGGCCGAGGACGCTGCCCCGCAGCCCGCTCGGTGCCGGACACGGGCCGAGGCTCCCGAGCCAGCAGCGCGTGCGGTGCGGGAGCCGCGCTCAGCCCGCCCCTGCTGCCGCACGCTCCGCTCCCCTCCCGGCGCTCGGGTGGCTCTCGGGGGCCGGGTACCAATCATGAATGAACAGAGCCAGGGACCGCGCGGAGCGGAGCGGAGCCGCGCGCCCGCCTGCCCGCCTGCCTGCCCGCGCTCGGGGAGAATCCGAGGCGCGCGGGGCGGCCGGCGGGTAACCCCGGCGGGGCGGGGCGGGGGGCCGGGCCCCGAGGGGCGCCTGTAGCGGCACCGCTGCCCACCGCCCTGCGCGCCTGCACCTGCCCGGCTGTGCGCGCTCCAGGGCTGCGCCCCTGGGCGCACAGACCTGGGTAGGCACCTGGCTGATGGGTGGGGTTCAGGGGGCAGCAGCAGATTGCTGTGTGTGTGTGTGTGTGTGTGTGTGTGTGTGTGTGTGTGTGTGTTCCTGTGTGTGGTGCGCGTGTCCCTGTGTGTGGTACGCTATCACTGACTTCAAGGGAAATCTTAATCACCTCCTGAATTCATGGGGTGGGGAAAAGAAAACTCTAGTCTACCCAGGGAGAGATGAAAAACATACATCTAACTGGGTTGTCATGAGAGGAAGGGTCCCTCCTGCCCCTCCAACGCCAGGGCCACCTTCTCATGACTGAGAATTGGGGAGGGTAAAAGGAGCCCCTTTGGACCCTTGTTTTCTCTTTGTTGTTTCTCCCTTGGCTTTCTCCCTCCTTCATCCTTCTACCTTCCCCCAGCCCCCCAGTAATTTCTTAGCCATCAGCTATGGGGCAGGCTGTGCGTTAGTGCTGAGGGGGTAATGGCTGAATTTAAGAAACAGTCTCCCTGCTCTGAGTCTTCACTGCAGCTCACACAGAACCACAACCCCTATTTCAGTATCTCATGCAAAAGGGCAAAGTTATGGTTCACCCCCATGGGTTCCCCTCAGCTGCCTGTGGTGCTGAAATGCCAGGTCTGCTCCCTGAAAGCCTGAAAGGAGCTACCCTTCTTCCAGGTAGGAGCTGCCTGAGTTCCCATTATGCACTATGCCTGCAGATCCCAGGACCCCCAACACAGAGCCCCAGACACACACATACACATAGTCACACAGAAAATACGGCACAGTTCCACAAGTCCACACAGACATTGCTATTATACACACAGACACACTCAGCCCATAATACGTTCACAGGGGCATCCACGGGCCCCCACACAAGGTGCATGAACACAGAGGCATGAAGACACACGCACAGTGCAAAATGGCATTATGGTTACCAACGTTCACGCAGGCGCCAAACCATACAGGCACATAGGCATACCCCAAGGATACAAGTGACCTCAGGAGCTGCTTCTCTTCTTTCTAGTCCATTAGCTGCCCTTTCAGGAACAAAGCTGGCCTGAGACTTGGCCAGGGACCCAGAGTAGTTTTCTTCACCTATTCAGCATTGAATGCGCTCTCAAACCCAAACATGTGCCCTATTTTGTGCAATGGGGAAGTTGTGCTTAATAACATCTGTCCCTTTCATTTGCATTGCCCTTTAGCCCACATCCCCCCCCACCCCGAGAGTTAGACAGGTCATGTCTAATCATTACTGGAAAGAGAAACTGAGGCTTACTGAAGGTAAGGAATTTGCCTGAAGTGACTTAGCCAGAATGTGGGATTAATCCAGGGCTGTTTCACAACCTCCTGTTGCCAGGTGAGGACACTGGGGACCCCTGGGCTGGGGAGATCTCCTCTGGGCCCTACCAGATCCAAAGCTTCAGTTCTCATAACTGCCAGGACTTCTCTGTCTGTGTCCATGAGGCCTAGAAGCCTGGCTGATGGAGCAGGACTGGTAGAGGCTGGTCTGCGGCCTCCCTCCTGCTCTCCTTGCGGGAGAAGAAGGGTGGGGGTGGGGTGGAAGCCAGGGGTCAGGAGAGGACCCATCACAGTGGCCAGGACTCAAGGAACAGAGGAGGGATCTTCGCTGGGGAGAGGATGTTGCGGCCCTCTGGGATCACTGGTCTCTGGGGCATCTGCTCCTCCCCATGCTACCGGGAGACCAGGGCCAACGTTTGAGTGTCTACAGAAGGCTAGGAGGCCATTCTTGCATTTCTACTTCTTCCCCACAACCACATGAAGAAGCAGAGTAGCGCAATTGTTCCACTTTACAGGTCAGAGAGAGCAAAGTACCCTGGAGGAGTTTATGACCGGCTGCTTCTAAGCAGTGGGAAGAAAGTGAGGTCACCAAGATGCAGTCCAAACTGCTGAGTTCAGCTACGAGGGCTTTTTGGGGACTGGCTTCATCGACCCATCTCTGTGCTCTCCAGTGCTCCCGTGGGGTCCTGGCCACACAGACCCTCCCTAGTGCCCTCTATGGCTGTGCTTCAGGGCCTTTGCATGTGTTGTCCCCTCTGCCTCAAACATCCCTCGCCTCTTTCTCCATCTGCTGACCTGCTGCCCATCCTCTGAATATCTGATTCAAGTGCCGTGTTCTCCAGCAATCCCTTCCTAGCCCTGAACTGGTGCCTGCCTCAGGGGTTCCTGCAGCACTTGGAGCTTTTGCCCTTCAGAAAAGTCATCTCCTTGGATCCCGTTGTCCCTTTCCTGTCTGTCTCTCCCTCCACACAGAAGGTTCCCTAAGAGCAGGAACCACTACTAATTTGGCTCTATGTTGTCTACTTAACCTCTTCTTTCTGGCAGGGGTGCAGTCAATCTCGGTGAATGAATGAATGGGCTAATTTTCTTTGCTCAGGGACCCATTTATTAAGTAAAAGCTGGTGATGACCACATCCTCTTAGCTCTTCGAAGGAAGAAGCACTCTTCCAGGTAAAGATTCACTTACTCAATCAATCTTTATTCATTCATATGTCAGCCAAGGACCAGATATTTACATGCACAACCGCTCCCTTATTCCTGAAGATTCCCTGGGTGCTAGGCATTATCTATAGGTAAATGGACACACACACACACACAGACACACACACACTCTATGATGCAGCAGACATTGCCTGTGAGAGGCTCACAAAGAGAGCATCTCAGAGGGGATGCATGTCAAAGCAGAGAAGACAGCAGACACCCTCCCGCCTCTGGGAGACTTGCCACAGAGAGCAGAGAACCATGGGGGCAACTTGTCCTGCTGTCCCCAGCATGTACTCACTAAGGCCATCTTGCCAGCTCTGTCCAAGCGGGGCTTCCCTGGCGGTGGCTCCTTCTACTCCTGAAGGTAAGCTAGCTCCTGCCCCACGTCCAGCTCTGATCCCTGCCTCATCTACCCTCTTACGGACTGAAAGTTTGTGTCTCCTCAAAATTCATACGTTGAAGCCCTGCCCCTGAGAGAGGCTGCGTTTGGAGACAGGACCTCTGAAAAAGGAATTAAGGCTTAACGAGTTCATAAGGCTGGGGTCTTGATCCCATGGGATGAAGTACCCATAGTGGCTCAGAGCAGATGACGGAGAGTTCCCCCAAGCCCTGAACGCATGCCTAAGGAAAGGTCTTGTGAGCACACAGGGAGCAGAAGGCAGCCATCTGTAAGCCAAGGGGAGAGCTCTCACCAGACACCCACCCTGCTGGCACCTGGATCTTGGACTTCCAGGCTCCAGAACTGTGAAAAAATACATTTCTGTTGTTTAAGCCACCCAGTCTGTGGCATTGTGTAAGAGCAGCCGGGGCTGAGTAATACACACCCACGGGGCCGTCCGTGCCCTCAGGAAGCTCTGCAGGGAAGGCCCTCCCATCGCTCTGACATAAGCACGCATGGAGAACTCCTTAAGGCACGCCTGGAAGGCTGTTGGGGGAGGAAGGAGTAAAATGGTCAGAGCCCGCAGGGGGTCCCGATCGAGCATGCCCGTGCTTGTTTGTGTAACACACAAGACGCGTGTGTCCCCTTCCCTCTTCTCTCACGCACTCGCTCAGTCATGTTTCTTTCCATTCTCGCGGATGGGGGCAGGTCCCCGAGTGCCCACCACACACGGGGGCAGCAGTGTCAGAGGAGGAGCCTGGACCTGGGGGTGCTGCTAGGCCTGGGTGCCCATGCTGCTTTTGCTGCTCTTTCGCTGTGTGACTCGGAGCCTGACGCGTACTTTCTCTGAACCCTACTTTCACTTTCCGTGGCCCACAGTAGTACCTACCCTGTCGTGCTGCTGTGAAGACTGGAGGTGACATCAGGCCCTGAGTAGGTGCCTGGCACACAGCGTGGCCAGTCATGGACCCTGGACTGACGCTCTCACTGTTGTTGTGGCCAGGTACCGTGCTGGGTTAGATGGGTGTAGAAATGAGTCAGCCACAGCCCTTCCCCTTGGCTTCCATCTTGGCTCTTCATCTGTTTCATAGGAAATCTATTCTCAGGGTCCCCATCTGGTATTAAAAGACTCAGATTAGTTAAGGAAGGGAATGTGGTTGGCACCTGATTATGTGCAATTCAGCACTATGCTGGCTGCTGTCTTGTACATTTCCCAAATGTTCTGCATGCATAAGTCTGGCCGCCTCAAATAGATCCTGAGTTTTTAGAAAGCAAAGCAGGCACCCCTCTCCCTGCCCCCACCAGCATTGGCGTAGCCTGACCCAGGACATCTGAAGGGTTCTGCAAATCCCCACACTGAGATCATTAGGGCATGGGCAAGGGCACCATCCTTTAGCCTTGAGATCGAGTCACGCTTCTCTTACTAAATGTACATGTAGGCCCAGGCTGCTTCTCTCTGAAACATGAACAGGGTCCTTTCAAGGGTTGGTGTGAAGATTGGGTCAGATAAAGCAACGGGAAAGTACTTAGTTT